TTAATGAAGAATGACTGAAGTATATTCAATCAGAGAATTTCCACTCAGCAGGTTTTCTATCATTCAGTGAATTCCTTTCATTTGAGATCTGAAATGGCACAGATTATCTGCAGACTATCGTTCTGACTGTCAGCCAGAGGAAATTTGAAAAAAGGTGGAAGTGGACAACTACAGAAGAGAAGTGATACAGCCTGGCACATTAGACAAATTCAAAACAAATGTTACATTTCAAATTTGGAGAAAAACGAATACTCAATTTGTTCCAGAATCAATATCAGCAGTACATTTTGACTATCCTTAAGGCAATGTGCGGAATATTCACCATACAATTAAACTGCTTTTGATCAATCAAAAAGATTCAGAAATGAATGGTTTATTTATCGCTGTAAATGCAGACTTTGACGAGATGTATTTTGGCCTTGAAAATAAAGACAACAGCACAGATTGCTAAACATCCTAATTACAGCCCACTGTGGTTTAAGTACTTAACAGAAGATGATCAGTTATAGCCCTGCAGATGCACTCATCACCCTCACTTGGTTTTTCTGATCGCAGATGCTCGTTTGCTCAGTAACCCGGCCCAGAACATGGTGCAGAAAAAGCAGAAATACCTGCAGAGTTTTGTTATCTGATAAATAAAGTTCTGCCTGTCGTTGTGCTGCTCTCTGCCTCTTCGTCTTCAGGCTGTGATTCCGTAAATCAACTTTCAGCGGACAGGAAGTTCAATCAAAACAGAAAATAACTGAAGAACTCACACCTACTGGTTTACAGTGTCCAGTGTTGGAACGACAATTCAGACATTTTACCAGAGAAATGTAGTTATACTAAGAAAAGTTTGTAGCTTCATTGGTAAAGTTGACATTCGAAAGCTTGGATATATACAAAAAGAATTGTGTCTATTTGTTGTGTTTAAATTGTATTTGTGAACAGTTAAATAAGAAGGTAAATGTAATATTTTCAGAATTCACAATTTTTTTTAACAAACTAAATATTTAGCTTCAAACAGAATCCTTCATTAAAATACATATTTCTATCAATTTGTATCAATTTGTATCCATTTATCCAATGAACCCCCTTTTTTCCAAAGACTATTTACAGCCACTATATGGAACCTTTTTAAAAAGGCATTCAAGATAATATTGTGCCTTAACAACAGTTTCCGTTTAAAATAAATTGAAAAATGAAAAGAGAGACGACGCTTGCCATGGATTTAATGGTCTCAAAACAGATCATGCTAACAAAAAGCCTGACAGTGTGTGTGCTGTTGCTGGTAGTGTGTGTGTCAGAGTGTGTTAGCTCAGTGAACTTTGCCCTACGGCCCGGGGAATCTGCATGATGCGTGAGCAGCTTCAACACAGGAAGAAAACAACGCCGTGATCAACATCACTGTCATCCAGCCTCATCTTCCTCCCTCTCTTCCTCGCTCATCCTGCAGCAGCTTCTCCCTCTCTCTCCCTCTCTCTCTCTCAGCTGCTATCTTGTTGCTTTCAACACTTTTGACACACTTTGACTTACTGCAGACGGAGAGAAATCCCAGAAACAACATGACAAACTGATACTAATACAACACTGTGAAATACTCTACTAGCAGTCAAAGTCTTGCATTAACTTAGTATAAAAGTATAAAATATGATATCCTGTAGAAACATCAGGAAGATGCGTCCAGTTCTGCCCCAGATTGCAACGCAGGTCCTGGACAAGGCCATCTCAAGCCCTGACTACTGCAACTCCTTCCTGGTCGGTCTACCTTAAAGTGCCATTAGACCTCTGTAGCTGATTCAGAATGCATCAGCTCAACTGATTTTCAACTTACGTAAGTTCTCCCACACCACTCATTGCTCCCGTCACTGGCTGACAATGGCTGCCTGAATGCGCTTCAAGTCACTGGTACTAGCCCACCACATGTTTGCAATACTTCCTCTCAAACGGTCAAATGAGCTCCATTGACATCAGGACGGCAGAAAGTAAATGGTAAATGGACTGTACTTATATAGCGCTTTATCCAGTCTTTAAGACCCCTCAAAGCGCTTTACATACTACATGTCATTCACCCATTCACACCCATTCATACAGAGCAGTGTACCTTACTCTAGGACCTAACATTCACACACATTCACACACCGTTGGCCATGCCATCAGGAGCAACTCAGGGTTAAGTATCTTGCCCAAGGATACATCGACATGTTGACTGCATGGGCTGGGATCGAACCCACAACCTTCTGGTTGAAAGACGACCGCACTCCCTCACAGCCACAGTCGCCCCGTCTAAACATCTTACATTGAAAACTGAAAACCCACTTGTTTTAGCTTATACCATGGCAATAAAACCCATAACCCCCCCACCTCCCCCTCATTAGTGAAACTAATGTACCAGCACTGCAATGTCTTGGCTTGTTGTTCTGAGTTTATATCTTTATGCTTTTTTGCACCAGTCGCTTTGAAAAAAAACGTCAGCTAAATGAAATGTGTTTTTTGTGGGGAATACCCATTTAATTCCTCTTCTCCTCCTCCCCAATCTTCTTATTCCTCAATAATATTACCTTGAACTTTTTAATTACCTGCTTGTATCCCCTCTATCCCTTGTCGCCCTCTTTTTTCAACCATCATTTTTTTCCTTTTTACTTTCTTCTGTTTTCTTTAGTTTATTACCCTTTAGCTCAATGTCTTCTTTCCTTCCCTTCTTTTCTGTCCAAACATCTCTCCACAGAGACTAAGATTTTCAGTTTGTTGCCACATCTGTCTCTTCTCACCTTATTTCATTTGGTTTCTGTCACGATTCTTGTGTTACAGTATGTCATGTTTTTAGTTTGGGTTTATTTTGCTGTTCGGTTCTCCCTGTCATGTTTTCCTCCTTGTGTATTGTCTGGTCCCTCTCCCTGTGTTTTCCTCCCTGTCGTTAGTTTCCCTGGTGTCTGCTTGTCTGATTGTGTTCACCTGTTGCCCTTGTGTTTCTCCTCCCCTGCCCGGCTGTTTCTCGTCTCGTGATTACCCCCCCCTGCATTTAGTCTTGTCTCTTCCTGTGTTCAGTTCAGTGTTGGTTCGTCTTTTGTTGGTGACTGAGTTCACCGGGATATGTTCTGTTTGTCCGAGTTTTATTCTTATCCTTGAAATAAAGGTATTATCAGCATTATCTGCATTTGGGTCCTGCTTGCTTCACTCTACCGTAACAGTTTCATTTTTATTAATTTACCACTTCTCCTCTCCTTGTTCCCTCTTGCTCTCCTACTGTTTCTCATCCTTCTGTCTCTTCTTATACTCCTCTGTCCATCCCCCCTTTCATTTATCTCTTCTTCCTCTTTAGCCCATCCTCCTTTCTGCTTCACCTCCTTTGAACTTTCTCTTCTCCCTGGAGCCTGTTTGCATCATGCACACTTATCCGTTAGCATGCTAGTTATCCGTTAGCTTCTGTAGATGGGTTTGATATTCACGGCCAGCTATAGCTCCAGGCTAACATGTTTTCCTGCTGCAGCAACGCTTCTCAGGTTGTGGTTTGAGGACAGTTTGTATTGGAATTGTGGAGATGACTTAATTAACAGTAAGTTTAAAATGTGCAAAGGTGTTTCTTTCTCGCTTGCTTTAGCACCATTTTCAGCATCAGCGAGCAATAACAATCTAAATTCCCTTCACTTCTCAGGACTACAGTACAACTCACGACCAACTTGTTAAAAAAAAGTGTTGGCAGCTTTGATTGACATATATATATATATATATACACTGTGTTATATTTGTTTACATTTATATAAAATATGTCAATCTGTAATTATCTCCTTAACTTTGACAGTCCTACTTTAATGTTTAAACTAATTGGAGTTGATATGACAAAACCTCAACTCCTATTTGTGAAATATAACATCAGAATGTGTCTTCTGTTTTGAAAAGCCATTCCTGTGTGAGTCAGCGTCAGCATCTGTATATAGGTTTCACATGGCATGGCTAGCTAGCGCCGGCCAACATGTTCGCCTGCTACAGATTTCCGTTGGATGGTCTCGTTCTCATACAAAAACACACATACACACACTCGCACAATTTGTTGTCAGTCAGTGTCTGTCAAGCTCTCTGCACAGATACTAGTGCTGTCCGACTTGTCACACAACGTCTCAGACGATGGTAGCGGCAGGGATATGCAAACAGACGATGAGATACGGTTAGATTCATTTAGCCGCGGGATGCTCACCAAAACTAGAAAATGACCAAATTTAAACTAGAGAAGAGACAGGAAGGGCTTCTACATCTGAGGGAAAATATTGACTGAACCTGCTGTTTATTTGGCTTCTCGTTTCTGCCTCACAGAAAGCCCAATCTGTTTCCATATTTACTCCATATGTATACCAGTGCCAAAAAAGTATGGGCGCATGCTCTCAGGTGCTGTAGAGTGCCCGGTTCTCTACCAGAGGCTGTAACTCAGGAGTCAAATTGTAAGAACAGAAGCAGGATGATATTACCAGTCGGCTAAATCTCCGGTAAGTCCAAATATGCAATTACACCAACCCTGTGTGAACCACAACAACACTCCTTAAGTTTCTTGTTTTTTCTCATATCTAAGAGATTCTCTTGTTACCCAGGAATACAGCACAATGCCATTGGAGACATAAATCAATTGACAACATTTCTTGCCACATTTGGTCCAGGAAAAGACATACGCTACTTTATCATCGATTTTACACAAAAAAAGGAACACAACTGAACATCATGCTGTATTAAAGAAGACTTGAATCTGGAGATTGAGACAATAAACCGATCATAATAAATAGAGTGAGAAGTAGGAACATTGTCTCATTCTTCTTTACAATAAACAAGAAGAGTCAAATATCTTCCTTTTCACAATAATCCCGTTTCTTATTGATTGTCCTTGTAGTGGATTTGACTTCCGGAGACCATAACAGCTCAAAACTGCGACACATTTCAACATCCGTCATTCAAGAACACATGCATCCTTCAACCAGCCCCACCCACACCTCCTCCTTTGTGTGTTTTCAAAAATGAAGATGAAATGCACTCACCCTGCGTCGCTGCTGTTCCCACAGATTAAGGCATCCTTGGCTCCCTCCACTTTGTAGAAGTTGTCTGGAAAAAAAATAAAAATCCACTTTAGTTAGACGTTCATGTGAACTTGTTTAGTTCCTGAAAATAAAGTTGTACAAATAAATCAAATTCAATAATCACTTGTGTTTCAGATACATTCAGATGACCCTTCCTGTTCTTGTTTTTTTAGATCAATAATCTCATGAATCTCAGTTTGTTTAGTCAGGATGGACATTACAGGAACCATCTCTGCCCGGGCATTTTTTCAACACATCAAGTCATTTCAGAGAACATTAAAACACTCTGACTTCATTACAGGGAAGTACTAGTGCACACAAGTATCAGAAGCTTTTAATGTATGTCTGCAGGAAGAAAACACTTCTAGAGTTTATCGATATGGAGCAACAAATCAAATGTCTCTGATTCTGATACACCAAAATCTAAATATACACCACGATGGACAATTTTTGACAAACAAGTCGACAGGCTGTGAAAAAGATTACCTCAACTTTGTGAAATTTAACATCAGACTTTGTATCTTTGATATTGAAACATTTCCTGTGTGACTCAATGTTACATCATCTATGATCAGATGCAGCTTTTAAAACAAACTGACCTTACATTCTGCCGTGACATTTTCATCTATTTTCTGACAGAAACATTTAGGGTACTTATCTTTTATTCAACACAAGATTCAGACCAAATGCATTTAACTGCAGACATTATGAAAGATTACATAGCATGCAATGGGAAAATATGAAAATGGGAGTCATATTCTAGTCACTAAATGTACTCTGGGAACAAAAGAGCGAAACTGAATTTTAAACACTTTAAAAAAACCTCTTTATGTCACAGGGAACAAAGCATATTTTCTTTATTGATGCGGGGAACCTGCAAACTTTCCCCATGACGTAGGAGCTTCTAATAAGCTCAATAGAACATGGACGGTTTCATTTTGAGGTGGGTTTCATTGTTTAGTTTTATATTAAAAGTATATCAAGTGATCCAGTGTTGAATATGTATTACTTTAATAATGAGTGGTTACATAACATTACAATAGGAACATTTTACAATGGATGTCATGTTGAATGTACTCTGGGAAACAAAAGAGCAAACTTCAAACACTTTTCTGTAAAACCACAGTATGTCATGGAGAATAAAGCATTTCTTTCAAAGTCATCTTTCTTCTAATGTGTTGGTGAACTCATAAGGAAGTGGGAACTCGCCGTCCGGTGTGAACGCACCATTATGGGCTCAATGGAACTTGGAATGTTCCATTTTAAAGGGGGGTTTCATTGTTTATTCTTTAAATACCATAAACATCTTATATTGTTAATAATGAACAATTACGTTTAATATTTAGATAACAAAATTAATCATTTAGTTTTAAATATTTATTATATAAGCAAATACATAGCATTGTAATAGGAACATATTACAATAGGTATTTATGATCTTATTACAAAAAGTCAGAAATAAAAAAGCCAGCTGTAGCCAAGTTGTATCTTTTTCTTTAAAAACTCAGCTTCTCTCTTTTTTTTATGTTAGAGATTAAAAAGCATTTCAATAGGAATATGTTACAATAGGTGTCATTATGTTATCACTAAAAGTACTCTGGGAAACAGAAGATTTCTCCAGAAACCAATGCCTGTACAACTTCAGCTTGTCACAAATCAATTATTTGTTCAAAATCTTTTATTGTGGCGGTGCACGTGCAGAGTTCACTCCTTTGACAAAGTAAACATTTTCTCTGGTGCTTGTGTTTCCCCCTGACCGCTGAAGGCACTTAAACTTTTCAGCGGCGCTAACATTCATTTGTTATCAAGTGCATCTGGGAGTCTGCAGCTAAAACTTCTGAAGTGCTTTTGTTCAGTTGCTCAGAGTGAAGCTCTAAGATTAGTCACTGAGGCAGACAAAGCACATTGGAGCAGTCATTACCTGGAACTTCAGAAACTCCCCCGAATAGATGCATATTAGTCTGCGGACTGACATTTAATAAAGGTTTCTTTAAGCACAACCCCCATTTCAGAAGATTTCACAGAGCTGCAGGGACAGGGAAATTGTCTCTGTAGGATATCAAGGGGGTGGGCTTCATTTAGATTTCTTTGCAAGGTAAATACACCTCCACTCATCCTCCCCCTGTGTATTTTCATCAGCAAGAGATGCATTTACATGATGAGAATCTGCAGGTACGAAATGGGAAATATACTGAGGCAGTTAGTCTGCTCTGCCAAGAAGGAAATATATTAATCACTTGTTAATATATTCTCACAATGTCTTGTTTTCATGGACAAAACATTTAAATCTTAGGATTTTGGGCTATTTTGATTCGCTCAAATGTCTTCTTCCAGACTACTAGAAAGAAAAACATCCCAAATCTACATTTGAGTGCCTATTTAAATGACCTTTTTCATAATTTCTCCTAAATTAAAAAAAATATGTCGGGTATCTTTCCTTTTGGACAACCTGCAATTACTCATAATTATACACAAGGGGGAAACGGAGCCTAATATGTTCAGATTTCGGTCCTCTCCCTCATCAAACTCTCTTATTATTACTTGTTGTAAAAATGTATATTCTTTGTAACAACGGTTACATTTAGGGGGGAAAGAAGCCGATCCAATTCTATCCCAACTAAAACTGTTCATTTTATTACTTTATTTGAATTTATTTATCTGTTATTTTTTATAATTATAATAAAATGGTATTTATTGGTATTATATACAGTACTGTTTAAAGTAGATTTCTCGTTTAAACTATTAAAAATCTAATGGGTGGACATGTTCTGCGTCTCTGATATTCATTTATTGAACGTGCAGCTCCGGGGACGCTCTGACCAGACAGAGCAAACATTGCATGATGGGAAATGTTTAAGCATGGAGAACATCCACATTGATCTCCACTGTTTTTCAGATCAGCCAAGCTTTAACGGCTCTCGGATTTCACGGCAGCTTTTAGGGGTCGATATGGGAGCCTGCAGGGGACATTTGTTTGATGTGATGCACGGCAAAGCAAACTGGAAATGAATAAATAGAAGGTGCATTAGCAACGAACCATTACTGTAAACTCAAAGTTGCCTTTATTTTATTTGAGACGGTTTCACCCTTTAACAGAGGAGAAACAATGCTTCTGCGACACGTCATTACTTTAAATAATTACACATCTGTTTCTGGATAACGAGGGAGTGTGTTTGTCCCGGGGTGTGTTTTGAGCATGGTTTCTTTTCTGCTGTCTGACAGAAATAATTGGGGGAAAATATGGTTTGCTTATAGTCATAAAGGAGTTGTGCAAGTTCATTTGTAAAGTGTCAAAAGGCTTCACAGGCTCCCTGGAAACAATCCCTTACCAGAGAAAGACACTAGGAAAGATGGAAGCCAGGTTATTGGTAGAGGAAGGAGACAATATAGTTGTATTAATTACGCAGATGAATGGAAGAAGCTATCATTATAAAAACATCTGTCACGAGACTAGCGGACATACAGCAGCTGACAAGACGAAACATTTTATTTGAGGTTTTTTTGTGAGCAAAAAAGCAGCTGGATTTGTTTGATTCTAGTAATTGTGTTACTTTGTAGTGATTGTATTTCCTCTCTGTGGTCCTCATTAGAGGATCAGACAAAAAACAGAATAATGGGATGTGAAAGGAGAAAAAGATTTTACGTTAAAAACGATACAAAAATACAAGAAATATTACAGAAAAGAGAAAGGGCAAAAGAAGAAGACATGGACTGACACCAGATACAGTATATGTTCACAGAAATTACAATTAAATACAAATAAAGTGTGTAGATGAAGAAGTGGAAACATGCATGTGTGCAGAGGTGGTTGAGCGTTGAGGTCACATGGAGAAAACACACTCAGGTTTCATCTGACAGCGTTAAGTGTTTCGCTAACCCTGACCTCCACCTCTGTGTGTGTGTATAGTACAGTATGTGCTTATGTACTGTGAGTGTATAAGCATGTCCACATAACATATATTATGTTCCCTGGCCAAATGCTTGACATGTCCAATAGTGTATATACACCAGCTGACCTCATATGACCTCACACTCTCTCACGCACACACAGTTTGTGTCTCTTGTAGTCTCTTTGTCATCATTTTGAGTCTGTTTATAGTTGTGTTATAACTCTTTTTATGTATCCATGAGAACATTGTTCCACTCTAACCCCCAATTTTCATCACAACAGCCTTTAAATAACTTTTCTAAAAGGCCTTCAGTTGTGTGTGTTTAAGCAACAATGACAAATTCATTAAGAAAACGTATGAATTCCAAAATTGGTTAGAAATGGGAAAGTAAATCTATTCCACATCATCACCTGGAAATTAGCTATGGCTTATAAAAAGCCAGGTTCAGCTTTTCACATCCAAACAATTACATTTCTTAAATGTATCTTATAAAAAGTGACTAGCATTGTTTACTTCTGCATTATAAAATGTGATGGCATATACTACATTCTGAATAAGTCTTCAGTCTCAGTGTCTATTATTAGTAACATTATTGAAGTCATCTTGTGTCTCTTTGCGGTCATTTGTTACAATAGTCTCAGAAATGATTTCTTTAACCCTTTAACAACAGATTTCCAGCACGACTGAGTTCAAATAGCCTTTTCTAAGACCAGTAGTTAAACCTTAAGTGTGCGTTTGAGCAACAATAACAAACCAAGTCTCTCAAATGTAGTCAGTCAGAAAGAAATACAGTTTTCAAAATCTCAAATCCAATTCTGCTGCTAAGTGTGACATTTTTAGTCAAGATATAGGCAATGCATTCTCACCCTTGAACTTTAAGTCCCTGAGTTCACCAAAGCCAGGTTCAGCTTCACTTTAACAGCTTTTGTTGTTTTAATTGTAATTTATTGAGCGTCACTACCTGGCTGCTTCCCTGTCTACTGCTGCATTGTTAGTCCCACAAGTGATGCATACACCCAGAGGTGAAAGAAGTACTCTTTCTACTTTTCTATTCTGCCGCAAAGTGTGAACAAAGCCAGACTCTGCTTCATCTTTACAACTTACTTTCTAAAATGCGTCTTACTACAAGTCACCATCTGGTTACTTTCCCTTCTACTGCTGCTTTATCAGTGCAAACAGCAATGCATGAACCACATTAAGTATTGAGAGCTGTGTCCTCACCCTCATCGCTGATGAAGTCGTGCAGCGACGCCCAGGTCTTGTTGTTGCAGAGGAAGGAGGCGTTGGCGGACATGCTGTCGTTGAGGCAGTGTGCCGTGTTGCGGACACATTTCTGCCGCAGGTTCCCCATGAACAGCTGCAGGCCGATGAGGGCGAAGACGCTCAGGCAGAACACGGTGAGGATCATCACGTCCGCCAGCTTCTTCACCGACTGGATCAGAGCGCCCACGATCGTCTTCAGGCCTGCCGCCACCCAGAGAGCGCACACGAGGTCAGAGGTCAGGGAAATGTGATGTGGATGTGATCACTTAACAAGAAAACATCTATAATTCAATTAAAGTTTAGTTTTAAATATAAGAATCTGGATAAAAAAACAGGCTAGTTCAAAGAAAGGTTTCAAGTCGGATTTCTTTAAAAAGAATGGTTTACCCAAAAACAATATATAAATATAAAAAACCCTTTTATAGCATAAATACTTTTCTATCAATTAGTGGACAAAACAACATTTTATTTGATAATAATTTTGTTCAAATTTTTCAATGAGACAAATGTATGGATAAAACCCACTTGGACAATGCTGCGTTTCTTTCGTTCAGAATATGTTTACATTTTGTTCAGTTCTAATAATGCCATTTGAGAACATTATTTTAATTGTTTTTGGGTGAACTTCCTTGTAAGATTAGGTGATCATAAATATGGCTGCCGCCGCCTCAACTTTGATCCTAATCTAATATTACAGCCTTTACTCAATATGCAACAGTAATTGTTAATTGAGTTATAGCAACAAACACACATTTTATAACTGTGTTTGAAAAGGATGCTTTTTCAGTTTTTTTTTTACAAGCTGCAAAGTAAGAAAGGTTATGGAGTCAAACCAAAGGGCAGCCATCTTTATGTACCAGAGAAATAAATCACCAATTGGATAAAAAAGAAAATATAACTCTGCTGTTGGTAGAAAATCTCTTCAACAAAAGTTGTATCATTTTAATATGTATAATATAAAGACATATAAAGGTTTTCATCGAACAGCAGCTCTAAGTTTTTCATAAATGTCAACGCCACCATGGGAATAAAGTAATCATCAACAGAATAAAGGAAAATGATCTCCCAGTTAACATTCATAAACACACACACAGATGGTAAAAACAGCAGGAACACACACAGTGAGAACACAAAGGGTGCAGACAAGTTGACGTCGGCCAATTGTAACAAATAAAAGTTTCTTTTTGACTTTTTATAACTTGAGCTTTTTTCTATTAAGTAAATTCATTAGAAAAAGACTTTTAATTTGCATTATAATTGAACTTCTTAGTGTCTGTAAGCTAATGAATGAGCAGTGTGATTATATTTAGTTATGAGATGCTTTTCACATGTAGCTAAAATGGTTATAACAAGTTTTAGACGTTGTTATAACATGACCATGGCATGGAGATGTTTTAATCACGTTAAAGATGCTTATAACGCTGTTAGCGCTGCATGCTAACATGCACAGTGGAGACATACAGAGGCCAGCAAGCGACAGATGTGAAGAGATATATCCACATTTTAATAACTGTTTTTTCAGTAATGGTAGAAAAAAATATGAAAGTTTAAAGTTAAATCTATGATACAAATGTGTACAAAAACGTAATATAAAGGATTGAATCCTTCTCTTAATAAACATTTAAAAGCGGATCCACATTTAAAACTGGAGTCACTACGATCACACTTTTGTTTTTGATTGTCAAATTAAACATTCAGATTATTGTAGTGGAGAAGAAGTCAAATGGGACATAAAAGAATAAGTACATGAAATGAAAGCCAAGATTAAGTTATTTCTCTATGAAGACGCCTCACAACTTCCCACCATAACAAAATATATTTGAACAACTTAATGATTCTAAATTGGACATCCAGTGTTTTGTACAAAGTCATTTTAAAGTGTTATTTCAGTGCGTCAGATCTTTTTAAAAGCCAGTTTTGGTATTGCATAAGAGTTAATAAAGGACCCTGAATCAAAGAGGTTCATATTTAGATAAAGCGTCACTCATTAAAGCTGTATATTGTAGAAATGTTTATTGTAACAAAATTGTTCCTCTTTATCATTATATTTGTGTATTACCAATATTTGCTTAAAATATTTTTACAATATTAGATTTCTCAAGATGAGACCTGATTGCTTATTGTGTAAATACATGTTTTTTTGTCGCTGTTTACTGAGCCTCTGATGTGCACACACAACTACTAATGAGAAAGATTTCTTTCTGCATACTACCTCTGTGTACTTTATTAAAGATGTATTTTAAAAAGTGGGTTTGTTCAGCAGGTAGTATGCAGGATGAGAGTTTAATCTTCCTGCAGGCCCGGGCCGTGGGGGGGGGATGCGTTTGATGTTCCCGCCCCTGCGCTTGGCTTCCTCACCTGGGATGACAGAGATGGTTTTGAGCGCTCGCAGCACCCTGAACGTCCGTAAGGCTGACACATTACCCAGGTCCACAAACTCAGTGACATATCTGCAGCACGCCGGAGACAGAAGCACAAAAACAGACACACACAGAGGGTGACACACCGAGCAACAACGAGGAACGGAGAGATGAAGAGAGACAGAGAGGGGAAGAGCGCGGAGGAAGAGGAAGTCAGACAGGAAGTTGCTCACATGGAGGAAAAGTGGAGATAAACTCACAGTTTAAATCTCTGCAAATTATTTATTTAGTTTAGTGTCAACTCTAGTGTAACATGGAGCCAAACTAGAGAACACATATTTGTGGTTTCAATCTGTGCAACATATTTCTTTAGATAAGTGTCTTGTTGTTTATTTATTCTTTAGGAGTAAATTAGGGCTGCAGTTTAACATTATGCTTTGGGAACAGTACTGTACTTACAATATGTGTACGATAGAACTCAAAGTGAGAAATTACATTTAAAAAGTAGTTATTTTTAGGAAACATACTAAAAGTAGGTTAGCCTTTCACGGTAGAGAGCCTAAAAAGTCTAGCTTTTTGTCACTGTTTTGATAAGTAAAGCTTGACTCTAAAAGGGTTAGGGTTAAGTAGTATAGTTGATTTTTTTGTCTTTGAATCTAAAACAAATCTCCAGTTTCAGGAACATGTGTTCAGCTTCTAATTGTCTGACTTTTCCTTCCTCACTTTTCTTCAGTTCATGTCGGGTGATTACAGCCTGGGCACCTGGTTGGTCAGAGAGTAGAAAGTGGGCGGGGACAGGGCAGACATAGGACGAACAGGAAGAGAACGTTCACGTTACGATGACGAGTGTTTTCTGTCCGTGACGCCCCCTGCAGGTGAGGCTTACCTGGGATGACTGAGATAGTTTTCAGCGCTCGCAGCACTCTAAAGGTTCGCAGCGCCTGCAGGTTCCCTACTTTGATAAACTCTGTTAACAGCCTGCAGTGTGGGGGGTGTACACACACAACAGAAGAAGAAACACACAGCAAAGTCTGAAAATACTGTGGGAAGTTCAAAAGTACTACCCTGAAGAGGAAGAGCACCAACAGCTTACATTTACCACAATCAGAAATTATGAAATCGGGTGTAATATTATCTCTTTTATCAGCTTTGCCCATCAACGTCATGATATCTGTGATCCTTGTGAATGTTTGCATGTATAGAGAGTTGTATTCACCGTCTAATATTTAACTATAAAAAGGGACCATATCCCGGTTTTCACCCAAAGTTCCCGGGACTTTGTGTCCACGTTTCTGCTGAGGTTATAAATCTTAATCCAGCGTAGAAAATCATACATTCTGAAAAGTGTTTTAAGTAACCGACAATGGTTACATTCATGTACAGTAATGTAACATGTAATGTTGGTTCCATCTTTTAGGCTACTTTTAAATCTCAATCCAGTGTATCATACTCACATACTTATTTTTTCAAGTAGCTCAAACATTACACATGTGCACTGTACAAACTATCAGATATTCAATAATAACATATTGTGTGTCAGTATGTGTGTTTTGAAATTAATTATTCAATATGTTATCGCTGAATAATGGAAAATAAGCTTTCCCCACCTATCCTTATCCAACTTATTTGATCTGTTCAAGATATATGAAACTATTTTATTTATTTCCAAAAGTGTTGTAATGGCTTAAAGCAACTATCTTCAATATAAAGCTAAAAAATATAAATGTTTAAACGCATAGATGAAGGAATTCCATCTTTTAGTCCGCTAAACTAAATAAAATCGAAAAATTATTTCTACTCTAACACATTTATTAATCTTTGTGACAATTACAAAAATATTACCTTCAAAATATTATTTTAGTCCAAACCGAAACATTATTATTATTCAATTAATTAAAAAATCTTATCTGAAAAATAATTATGAAATCTATCAGAAAAAATTGGTAAATTGTATTTGTATTTCAGCAAATTTACTTAATATTCTTATGCCACCCCTAAAATAAGCTTTTCCCTATATTTAAAAAAATGTATTGATGATTTTATTAAGAAGATTTAAAATGTTGTTCCTCTAATGGTGTGAAAATGGCTGGCGAGTGTGGTGTGTAATGGTAGCCATTAACATGTCATTACATCAGGAACACAGGGGCAGATTGTGTGTGTGTGTGTGTGTGTGTGTGTGTGTGTGTGTGTGTGTGTGTGTGTGTGTGTGTGTGTGTGTGTGTGTGTGTGGGTGTGTCACACACACACACACACACACACACACACACACACACACACACACACACACACACA